AACCCACCCCCTCATCTCTTATCACTTGCTATAATGTCCCAAAAAGCCTCCATAAAAGGGGCGTGTCATTTGTTTTAATTGTGTGCGTGCTTCCTTCGCTCACCTCTGGAGTATAATCTGTAGTCAGTTATTGATGATGACTGCACAGCAGGATGAGATCCAAATCTCATGTTTCTACGTTTGAGTTAAAGTGATTTATGCTCATCTTCTTCAGTGATTGAAGAGTCTCGTAAACAGTGTAATGTTTGTAATTCATCAAGATATGTCCTAATGAAGAAGCGTTTTTACTGTACTAATTACATCAAACCCGATGCAGTCTGCTGGTGTAAACCAGACGCTGGTGGTATTGCTGGTCTAAAGGTGGGTTCAAACTACAGAAGTTTTGGGTCGATTTACCTCAGATTTCCTCCTCTTGATAATCAGAGGGGAGATCTGGTCCGGGACCTTGGTCAGTACTGATGTTTGGCCCATATTATGTGATAATAAGAGTGGTTTACAGCAAACCTCCAGAACTCCCCAATAAATGTCAAAGATTTTACGAATTACGAGTTAAAATTCCGAATGATTATGTCCAAACTCGGGCTGCCCCTGACTAAAGATTTTAAGTTAAAGCCAATAATTAGTTGTTGTTGCATGTTTATGATATTAATTTAATTATTTAACATACTTGTTAAATGCTAACAGGAATAGCAGTAATGATTCTAAAAGTGTCAGAACAACCAGCAAGGAGACTGAACATTTAGTTCATCTATTTCAACACAGTGTAACATTTCAGTCTTGTTGTTCAAAACACAGATTAAATAACTTCACAAACAGACTTATCGATACGATGGATGATGGATGACGTTAAAAGTTACTTAGAAATGAACTTGCTACGAACACACTCTCCTGTACATGACCCTGCCTGAACCCGCTGTTTCTTCATCGTTCCTGGAATCAACTGGCCTCTGTTGGTCTCGGAGGCTGTGAACCTGGTTCATGCGCTCACCCGGCTCTGGTTCTGGTGCTTGTTCTCCTACGCCAGCCTCTATGCTAACAGTGTAAACGAACTTCCTCCTGTCCTTCAAGCTCCCAGTCTGGTTAGATACCTGCAACAATCCCTTGATACTTTCTTCCCGCTGACAACTTGCAGCTTCAGAAAGGAGTTTGACATTGATTTTGTATTTTTTAATGCAACTACCGATTAATATGAAATGGGTTATCTGAGACTTTCTAAGATTTTTTAGTGCCAGTCTGTACAGAAGTGAATGAGAGGTGTTACCAAGCAGCGGTAAACCATTCAGTCTTTGAGGGGAACGTTGGCTGGCATACTACTGTTGACAGATCTTAAAACCAACAGTTAAAATCTCACCTGCAGCTCTCACTGAAGAATAGACAACCCGTGGAGTGCACCACTCCCTCTGGCACAAAAATCTTAAACAAATGTCCTGTAGACTCAAATTTTGGTGTGCGTGCAAAGTTGAGATAAGACGTATCAGAAGTTTGTCCTTTTGTGTGTGATTTCAAAATCTGTCCAAACCTTTGGTCTGAGCCTGGCTTTAGTGGTATCATTATCATTATTATTGTCCAGGGAAATTACAGTTTATATGCAAAAATGTCAATATTGTGCATCCCTGCAAAACCCTTTATATAAATTATACATAAACGGCTTCATCAATTCGATTTAGCACACCTTCACGTTTTATGTAAAAGATATTCCTTCAGTCTGGTTTCTTAAACTTACTATAAAGCTACAAGTGTAGTTTGAAACTTTGAAAGTGACTTTGGCGACCTCCACGTCCACGAGTAGTAATCTATGTCACTGCTTTAAGGACTGTTGCCTGCTTGAGACTGCAGAGAGAGGACGAATATGGATGAGAAGAGGGAGTACCAAACTGTCAAACTGAAAAGTTTGAAGTTGAATAAACATGGGCAAGAAGGAGAGTTATTTTCCCCACAGCACAAGATGTGTTCAGCAGCAGCCAAGTTCAGGTCAGACAGCCAAAACAATGTTCTCTCATCTCAAATTGAGAGATACCTCCTCTGTCTCATATTAGTCTCAAATGGCTACTGTACATAAAGCACATACTGTAGATGAATATGCTGTATAATAATATATAAAATACAGTCCAACCTATTTTATTACTTCTGTCGGAGCCTTAACTAACTACATTTTCAACACTGTAAATGTAAATTTCGCCATGACCTGTGCTGTGTTTTTATCCTGATAATTTAAAAAAATTGTTTAAGTATGGTCTGAGTGTTTTCATCAAATTCACAGGCTGGACGTTCAGAGCAACACACACACACACACACACACACACACACACACACACACATTCACACACATACAGTCTGAGTCGCTGTGTTCAGTTTGCTATTAAGAGGAGTGCCTGCAAGAGAGCTCTTGACTCTGACAGGCTCTCCATCTGCAGCCACACACACACACACACACACACACACACACACACACACGCACACACGCACACACACATCCTCTCTCACTGTTTCCTGACCATCATGTTGAATGAGGTGGATAAGTGTATAATTATGGGATGTTTATGACTGTGTTCCATCAGTTAGTGACAGTTTTACAATTACTAACTTCCAGAGTGTGCAGAAACATTTTTGACGTATTTAGAGCTCAGGTGTGATTTTCTGTCAGATGATAAGAAAACCCTGCGTGCTGGGTAATAATGTAAAGAAACAAATGCATTGCTAGCAAACAGTTAGCGTCTCGTTGTCTGATATGAAAGGGTAAAAAAACTGCTCCGTCACTATGTGACGTTATTATAAATGGCTGGTATAAAGTCTGTGTATGTGTGGATGAAACTGAATCAGACCTCAATGTGGGAGACCGTCGTCGTTTTTCTGTTTCCAACTGCCAGTTAACATCGTATTATTTCTTTAACATGACCACGATTGTTCCCTAACCCAGTGGTTCCCAACCTGGGGGTCCGGACCCTCGCCAAAGCCATTAGCACTGAGCAGTCATTTTTAAAGTTTAGATTATTATTTAAGGTCTAAACTTTAAAGACCTGGAAAAGTCCTGGAAAAGTACACAGTTAAAGTTACAGAAGAATTCATTGAACAATGGATAAACACTTAATTTATCAAAAAAGAAGCCTTTTAAGTATTTATAATGGTTTAAAATAAAATAAAAAAACATATTACAGACAGAGGATTGTATAAAAAGTTCCAAGTAATATGAGGTATATATCAAGTTGCTAACATGCAGAGAGGACGAGGCGGTTTCCCAGAGCCAGCACTGCAGCTCCAGACAGCGACACTCACAACTCTCCTGCTACTACAGCTTTCATCACTACAGCAGCTAGAGCACTAGAGAGAGAGCTGAATGTCCGTGGACAAGTCAGTCAACATTACCTGGCACACAAATGCTCTGTTTGTTTCCCATTTACAAAGCCAGGGCTACAGAGGGGAAAGCTGGCGGACTGTGAGGAGCCATTCATCGCATTTGAAAAGAAGTGTAATGGATTATAATCGCATCACCTAGACTCACGTACCCCACCTTTAACTGGGGCTGCACGATATTGTAAAAACATCAGATATTTTGATTGTGATATGTTTCACAATTAGTGTGGGAAATACATTTTTCACTATAAAAACGTATAGCCGGGGCACCCTTTAGCACTACAGTACTTCATTATGATGCTGTTTTGTCACCTTTTTCAATAAATTGTAGCTTCTGCAGTTTGGATATTGTACTTGGCCGTATTGTGATTTAGATAATATTTGAATTAATTGTTGTCACATCATAAAACATTGATTTTTCACACAGACAGATTGTTGTTTACTGTACTATGTAGGACTTGTTGAATACAATATAGATATAGGTTTTGAGCATCTTCCTGTGTATAGCCTGTATGTGTACAACAGTCTGATGGGATTTGGGACACGTTTGAAACTACACATTGTAGCTGCCTTGGTTTATTCTTTCTCAGACATATTTGTCAGATCAGTGATCTCATAAATAGTTTGTGCATCTTCCCACTTTTAAACCATCTTTTATCATATTTAAAAATGAATTTAAATAGGAGCCTCAATTTACAAAGCAGGATGACATAACTGACTTAAAAATGGTTTGCATATTTCCCTGTGCTGATGCTGAACAGTCATCATGTAGTCAGAGTCTTACAACCACCCAGAGAAACGCAGTAGAACACACACCCTGCGTTCCCTCTCCTTATCAAGGTACAGGGAGTTTGCTCACAGGGAGGCCTGTAATCTCACAGGTTTTATAAAGTGTGATCCTGCATAAACAGACATTTCTCCAAAATTCACTTCAGTTTGTTTTAGCACTGCATCGGTGCCAGGGGTAGCATAAAACCATTTCTTAGTGAAACATACGGGGGAAACAAATCCAAGCGGTGCTTGGATTTCTGCTGCTGCTCGAAAAGCGAAGTGATGAAAGCCTGTCTGTGTGTACGTGTGTGTACGTGTGTGTGTGTGTGTCTGTGTGTGTCTTGTGTGTCTGTGTGTGTGTTGGCTGGCCTGGGAGGAGAGGGGACGCATCACTGACAGCTACTTCTCTTTGTAAGAAGATGTTATTCCCCATTGAAACATTTGTTGAGTCAGACACAGTGTGGGTCGGCTGTGTCTTTGTGTGTGTGGATGTCTCTCTAAGTCATTGTAAAATCTTTTCCATGTGGTAATTGAAAAAAAGCGAAGCATGATTTATCTATTGATAATGTGCTGACTGCGTAGCACAAAGCTGCTCCGTGCAAATCAAATATTCTGTTATATTATCACAACCACATGCATTTCTGCATAGATTTCCTAATGAAATCCTGTAAGGATGTTTAAAATGTTGCAGCTCAACTAGGAAGTTTAAAAATATGACTCCACATGAAAGCATCATCATGATATGGAGTATTTTGAGTGTGTGCTGAACCCAATGTCCCTACAGTCCCCTGCGTGTGTGGGCGAGTGTCTGTCAGTTTTCCTCTATATTTTCCCCTTTTCCTTTCTGTAAACTGTCTGTCCTCTTCTGGCCCATCCAGGTGAGCCTGATGCACAACGGCTGGCCGGTGATTTCGGCGTTTGCCGGTGACCAGGATGTGACGCGCGAGGCGGCCAGTAATGGTGTTTTGATCCAGATGGAGAAGGGAGACCGGGCCTACCTCAAACTGGAGAGAGGAAACCTAATGGGAGGATGGAAATACTCCACCTTCTCCGGCTTCCTGGTGTTCCCCATGTAGAGGAAGAGGAGGAGCAGGGGGTGGAAACGAAGGAGGAGCTGGTGGAAGATGGAAAGTGCGATGACGACGGGGGAAAAGGCAGACGGAGGAAGAAGAGGGGCACGGGAAAGAGAAAATGGCGCGAACGAGACGGAACAGAAGAAAAAGAAAGAAGAGGGACTGTGACAACAGACTCTGTTTGGGACGCTGCAGAAGGAGGAAGGAAGAGGAAGGATGAGAGATGTTAGAGAGATGTAAGAGCAAGACAGAACGATTATAGGAGGGTAAAATGAGACAGGATTTATGAAGCCAGTACATGAAAGTGTATGGCCAGCTTCTTCACTTCCCTTCCTCCTTTCATCCATCCTTTCATCCATCCTTTCCTCCCTCTGTTTTCTCTGGCTTGACTGCAGCTTTGGACAGCCAAAACTTTTTTTATTCTCTGCTGAAAGACGCAATTGATCATTTATATGTTCCAGAGTGTTCTAAAGCCCGAGTGTAACCCCCCCAACATTCATTCATTCAATCATTAATTCATCGATCGCTATCAACATAAGCTTTGAAGAATGTTTCTTGAAGAACTGCTCCCCACATCTCCCATTTACTGTGGCCATATTTGTGGGGTTTTTCATGCTTTCATGCATAAACTGCACTGATTTTGGATCAGCCTCTACCCCAGCGCCAAACTAGAATTTTTATAGGGGAAACACTAAACTCTGATCACAAAATCAGGAGCTCCAGACACATTTACATTCCCTGTAAAGCTGTGTTTTATAGTTATTATGATAATTATTGGCTTTTAAAAAACTTTGTTCTTGAAAGACACATCTGTTTCCCCCTCCTCTCCTACCAATTGCCCCCACTCTCTGTTACTTAATCCCGCTCTCTCCCCTGCATCCGTACCACAGTCATGTCCTATTCTTTGTCTTCAGATCAGATGACTTGATTTCTTACAGCATCAAACATGACTCTTAATCTAAGACAGTTAACTCTGGTGTCCTGCTGACGATCCCGATGCCTGAACTTTGGGTATCGTCCAATCCCGAGTACCGATCCGATACATGATAAAAATAAACGTCAGAATATATGTATAGATATACACAGATATATATGTAGGGCGGGTCATGACTTCACTGGGGAAATATTGGTGTGCAGGACATTGCTGATAAAGTAGCAGGGTACCATTTTGGGGCTAACAAATGACATGTTGGATCGGTGCTCAGACACCTTTTAGGCAGTGTAGGATACTGGTATCTGTATCAGAACAACTCTGACAGTAACTGAGCACAACAAATAACTTAAATGATATATTGCTGTAAAATGTCTCTGAGAAATTAAGTTTTTATACCACTAATTTACAAGAGCAAAGAAAGGTAATGTTAACTGTAAGAAAGGTAAAAAAGGTTAAATGTAGATGTAGTCAATACCTAACCATGACTCTGGTGATCTGCATCCACACAGTCACACAGACAGTACTGTTGTACCTTCAGTGTTCCTATCAGCCACACAAACATACCAGCCAGCCTCCATCCTCTTCCACCATCCTTTGTCCACAGCTTCACCCCCCCTCCGTCTGTTTCTCTCCCTCCACCACTGCTGCTGTTACCCCTCCATCTCCAGGATCCCCTCCTCTCTTCAACTATGCTGTTTACCCACAAGTGCAGATTTTTTCTCTCTCTTGCGTTTTCGTATACCTCTGTTCTCCCCCACTCACCTCTCTCTCATCCTTTCCTCAACGGTCCATCTCCCTCTCCTTCCTCATGTCTCTACTTTATCTGCTGCTGTACTCGTTTGCCTCCCAGCACAGATCCCTCCTTGCTTTTCTTCAATGTTGGACTTTGGACACTAAAACCAACTTACAACCACGGACTCTATTATATACATATATATACATACATATATATATGTATGTATATATATTTACACAGTATATATACAAATGGATATATAAATATATCGAAATTTAAGCCACCATTTCTATTCTACTGGTATTATGATGATAATAATGATAATACTAATACTGAAACCTGAATCTGGTTGATGACTATAATATCTGTATTTCCGTACTTCAGTGTTATATAAAAGAAAAAATATTCTAAGAGAAACTTACTAGTGATTGTGTGTGGAAATCTGAGGCTGCCGTTCTGCTCTTCTGATTAAAAACATGCTTCTTGTTTTTGTTTTGGGTCAAACCAAGTTGTGGCTAAAAAGCTGAGACTAGTACTTATATAAAAAACCTACAGCTAAAGAAGACTTTTATTTATCTATTATTATTATTTATTACTATTATTATTATTATTATTATTATCAATCAAATCAATTTATCTACTGTTTTCTTATATTTATTTGCTCTGATGAAATCAATAAAATTTTAATGGTACTTTTATTTTTCTTAAACCTACTTTAAGCCTGGCCTGGCACTTTATTTTGTTAAAGCTGGCATAACTTCTGAAAGCAAGCAGAAACACACACAGCCCCAGGTGTGTGGATGTAATGGTGGGTGGTGTCTCCTCCTTTCTCCATCTCTCTGTGGATCTTCTACTCTTCTACACTGTATCACGATATCTTTTTATTCCTCTTTTTGTAGTCCACTTTCCCTCAATCGATTGGGGTTGCTTCCTCTATCCCTCTGTCCTGTCCTCTGTCCCTCTAAACTTTCTCTCTCTTTCCTCCTTTTACATTAATTTATTTAATTTGGATACGCTTCCTCTCTCTCTCTCTCTCTCTCTCTCTCTCTCTCTCTCGCTCTCTCCACTCTGTTGGTTTTTAAGATTTTGTGGTTCGTTTCTCTCCAGACTCTAATGAGCTCCAGGGGGAAAATTAGAGCTGGAATAACAAGCAAACATCAACATCATCTCCCTCCTTCCTCCAAATCCCTCCTTCCTCTTGCTCCTCTTCCTTCTCCTCTGCTTCTTCCCCCGCTTCATCTGACTTAATTTCCTATCTTTGTCTTTCTTTCCCGCTGTCCTTCCTCTTTAACACACTGTCTTCTCTCCAGTTTCCCTCTGTTTTCCTTTTCGGACTCGCTGTCCTCTTCCCCTCCGCTCAGACTCGTCTCAGTGGCCCTTCCTTTCTTCTGCGTTCCCCTTTTCTTTAAGCTTTCCTCTTTCTTTTGTCACAGTGTTTTTTAAAAACTTCCATTTCCTTCTTAAATGCCAACTGGCACAAATATATGACGTTTTTACTCTTAATTACTTTGGATAAAACTGCAGTCGTGTTATTTTCCATGGGTAGCTTTAAATGCTCTTTCTCCCAGTCTCTCTCTTTGTGTGCTGTCTCTCTCTCTGTCACCATCTGTCTCTCTGACTTTCCCTCTATTTTTGGTCAAAAGGCAGCAAGTCCTCCAAACTCAAATACAAAATAGATTTGCTTAGGTTTTGGATACTAAAACTACTTGGTTAAGGAAGAGAGGGAGATCCAGCTTTGTTGTCTGTACAGTGAATATGAAGCTGCGTTTAGATTGCTAGCATAAAGACTGGAAACAGGAGGAAACAGCTAGCCCACCTCTGCCTCTAAAGTTCACTACTGCGTTGTGTTAAAGAAATTCTATTCTCAGTCAGAACGATCACAACAAATTCAACAAATTCCTGTGAATTCTGCACAATGTTGATTCTGCAAATTTGACCAATTGCAGTTTCCCGTGAGTTTCACCAATCATAGCAGCCCCTCGCACCGTACGTCAGCAAACTACTAGCAATTTTATTGTCACTGGAATAAGTTGCCTTTGATTTTCATTAAACTGTATAAAAATATGAAAAATATTATACAGCCCAACAGCTAGAAAGCCAGCTCTCCGTCTGTCTGCAGCCTTTTATTTCACTAATCTCTCATCAGTGACTAAAAGCCAGTCCCAGATTTACTCCTGTACAGCGGCCTCACTCTCCTTTTCTATTCTTAGCATCCTTCGTCATCCCCTTAGGTCTCCTCGCCTCTGCCATTAAATATGTCCATAGAAGCTGCTGAGCCCTGTTACACTGACTGCTCGATGGCACTGGTTCTGGCACAACCAGCATCACTCTCTGTCAGCATCCTTCTCCCCATCCCAGGCCTGAACACCTCCCCTCCCAAGGCCAAAAGGTCCAGTGCTGCCAGTGGAAACACCAACGCTCCCCCAGTGCTCTGCGCACCCAGTCCGGTGCTGTGTCTCAATTCCAATGCTTCTGCACTTCTATGTAGTACATGAAGCAAACTACGTACTCAATGCTAATTTCGGCATTGTAGTGTTGTGTCAAATCGAGCACGTCCGTTGTGCGCTCACCGGAAATGACAATCGTAACATTTTACCATGTCACCTTCTTCTATCACGATTTACAACCAGACAGAGCATGAGTGCCGATACTGGCAAATTTTTCACTGGATTTTCTTCACGATATTAATCAAAAATGGACCGACTTTTTATCACTTGTGTGTTTCATGTTTCATGCGAGGTGGAAATTACAGCATCTACGCTGACGTCGTTTATTCCTCCTACTCACAGAAAATGTTCCTGTATGTTCCAGTGGTCCCTCCCTCCCTTCCGCTACGTAGCGAAAAGGGCGACCACTGAGAGTGAGAAGTTCCACACTCAGCTTTTTTACCGTTGTGAGTGCACCATTAATTATGTACTCAAAAGTATTAGTGTAAGTATGGAAGTATGAGTATGAGACACAGCATGGGTGTCCAACCCGTCAGAAGGGTGTGAAAATTGCTTTATTCATCCAGTGTATTGTGTCATAGTGGAAGGAAGCCCATTAAGCATGTGGGAGCCTCAACAAAAAGACTTATAAGATGAAAGGTATTTGGTCCATGATGTAAGCCCACAGGAGCACAGAGCCCTCTTAAATGCACAACTATAAATATAGGAAAGCTAAAGAGCAATCATGTTTTATTTCATTCCAGTGAACATGTAACAATTTGACTGTAACCCTTGTGTCAGGAACATTGTACCAAATTACAGTAATCACTCCTCTCTCTACCGACTGGGAAGGGAAGAGACAGAGTCCACCTTCACCGCCAAATGATGATGAATGATTCCATTTAGAACCATGAATACGTAGGCCTACATTACACTCTTTGTTGGTGCTGTCAGGTGGAGTAAATCCCTGGAACCTTTTACCGATCATCTATGTCAGAGTCCTGCACCGGGTCGGGTACTCCACACAAAAACATATTAATATAAATGAATGGGTGCGGGTAAAAATGAACTAAATGCGGGCAGGCAGTGGGTGAGAACAAAATGATTATGTTTTTTGTGGAGAAATTAAAATGTGCAGACTATTTTCAACATATAAATCAGCTAAATATCAGGTCTAGTCAGCCACCACGTAGACATTGTCACTGAGGAAACCCCATTCAGAGGCAGCAGGGGGAAACGGGTTCTGCGCCAGTTGACAGAAACTTTTCCAAGAACACAACTTGGAAACCACAAGGACAGGACAAGGACATCAGATCATTTGAAACTGTGTGTGTTGATGGATTTAACGAACTGGCACGGGGCTTGATAGGCATCGGTGCTTAGCTGGCCGCAGCAGAGGCATTGTGAGTCGCAACATAGTTGGCGATAGATTCAGACTACGGTTAATTATGGTTTCTAAATGTTCCACTTCCGAATTGCACAAGTAAAATTATGATCCAGCCAATGGGCTGTGCTTGGGTCAAACCCATGTGGGTCCCAGTTGGGTCACTAATGGGAAATGAGAGCATGGAACCCATTTGGGTTGTTGAATATCCAGTCGGGCCCCACCTAACAGCCAGTGTAATCCTGCATGAAGTCCACATGGACAGTTGACATGGGGCCATTACGGCAGAATCCCATATAGGGCCCATTTCACAGCCCATCTTATACCCACATGGGCCCCACATGCAAATGTTGGTGGGGTGGGTCCGGATTTGACTTAATAATTGCGGGTAAAGGGTCTGTGCAGGACTCGGATCAATGTACATCACACCGGTTGTGAAAGACAGTGAGCTCTGATTGGTCAGTAAAAATATTGTAGTTTGATCTAATCTGACACAGTGACCATTTCAAAATCCCAAAATCTGATTTATCTTTTACGGATATATGTCAGTAGTTTCAAATACTGCTAAATACAGCACCACTACCTCCTTTATTCACAACGTCTCTTATCTTTAAAACGACTTTATCCAAAACCAAGGGCTGCATAAAGAGCGGGGGATGGTCGTGTTTGATAATGAAGCTATTTTTGTATTAATGCCAATATACTTTCTATTTTAGATTTCTGTTAACTCAATCGCCACTACAACAATGTGTGTGTGTGTGTGTGTGTGTGTGTGTGTGTGTGTGTAGTGGAATGCGTGTGTTTTTCTGTGTGTGTTCTTTCCCCTCACAGCAGCAGGTCTGTCCAGAGGCCTTGTCCTCCAGAAGTAATTTGATTGCGGCAGAGCGAGGGAGACATAATTGTCTGCAGCAGGTCACAGCATAACAAACAAAGTGTGTGTGTGTGTGTGTGTGTGTGTGTGTGTGTGCGCGTGTTTATGTGGTGTTTGGTCTCTCCTACGTCCTCCCCACTAGTGTCTGCTCCACTACAGTATTCTCCACTTTCTTCCTCCCCTCTCCTCTTCTCAATGTCAACAGAAAGCTGACAGTTGGGTCTGATGCAGCATTATATTTTCAGCTCTATGGAAATGTGCACACATTTATTTACAGTTGCCAAGAGCACACACACACACACACACACACACACACACACACACACACACACACACACACACTTCCTGCTGCCATACACACTTTTGCCCCTGTGCCCTCTCACTCCAGCCAGATGGGCATGAAGGCAGATAGACAGCCAACAAGAAAGTCCAATAGAGAGCGAGTCGGACTGACATCTAGACGGGGGAAAAAAGAGCAGACCAGCAGTTCTTCTGTCCATATGACGGATAACCTTCGACCTTTACCGAACTCACCCATTCCTCAGGTCACACGAGTGCAGACATCCATGCTTGCTTGGACTCCACCATTTTCAGTTCATCTGACACCGAGTCCCTAAAGCCCTCCCCTTCGTCTCACCCCTTGTCACTCAAACAACACTCGCAGTCACAAAGGCACAGGGACAGAAACACATAAATTCTTATTTGTTCGGCCTGGAAGTCAGAGTGAAAACCTCACAAGTTATGACAATTCTTGTATGTTCAAAAGCAAATATAGTGCATATTCAGAACACAGTAAATATAACCCAACCTCTAGGTGCATGCACGCAGTGTGATAGATGTTTAAATACTAAATTATTTGTGAATGTGAGGGAAGAGGTCTGTTTCATGTCAGAAAGCAAAGTGAAAATATCATGTAGTATGTATATAGATAGTGACACAGTACTGAAAAACTACGCATCCATTGTAGGCAGTTTTGGTTCTCTATTCTTGGGACTATAAAATTCACCAAAGGAAGTTTAAGATTTAAGAAATCAAAAGATGTTCTGCAAAATTCATGTGCCTCTATATCTCTCCTGTGTTAAATGTTGGATTGCCATATAATTCTTGCTCAGAAATGTGTATTTAAAAGTGTCTGCGGGAAGCCTGATTCATGATTTATTCAAAGCTGCTGCTGGAACTCTCAGTTTATTCTGTGCGCAAAAGTTTGGACATGCCATGTTTTGAAAGCGTGTGGATTGATAGTCTGTGAGCTCAGATGTTGAACAAACAGCGTTGACTGATGTAGCTGACTTGTAGTAAGTGTTGTATGTATGTAGGTTACAGCTCCCTCGCCCAGGGAGGATACTGTCACATAATGTAACGAGTTGTTCACACAGCTCTTCAGCTGCCACACAAACACTTTAATGTTTGAAACTCCTGATTATACACTTATATAGCGCCGATTTTTCACATATTCAGTTTTGTTTTCAGGAAATAATCCGGACTTCTGTGGCCTCATTACATGTATATAACCCAACTTTTAAATAGTTTCCACATGCACACTTCCTGGAGAAAGTCCAAATGCCAGTTTGGAGTCTGGGTGAAGGATAACTGGGTGACACCAACAACGTGGGTTTGTTTCGTCTCATACTACACTTATGGTGAAATATCTCGAATATAATCCAATCCTGACGTAACCGAGTAGTTTCAGTCGCCTCCTGTTATAAACCCTCCAGCCCACTCCAATATGTGTTCTCTCACTTGATGTCTGAGCGTCACCGTGCAGAATGACGGTTGTTTTCAGTTTCATCTGCCGAAAAGGGAAAGTTTCTTTGCTTAGTGCTCACTGTGCTTCAGGGGGCAATGCTTTCTTCTCTCAGCAGTGCCTGATCACATTCAACCAGTTAACCATTAACAGAGAGCGTTTCACACAAGCTCCTCTTGTCTAACCTTGAGGCCGCTGCCTATTTCAGTACTGTACATGCAGGATTTGTAACATCACAGGTAGTCTGGAAGCCAATCACGATCCAATATGCAACTAATACAAGTGTGATGCAGAAACGTGAAGCCTATTTATGTTTTCTGAAGAGGGAGGACATGTATGATTTTATCATTTTTAATGAGGTAGTTTTGTCGAAAAGTCATATCAGGCACAAATTATTATTCCAAGCAGTATTTTTATATCTTAAATTATGTCTGAGAGGATCTGAAACACAACTAGTTGCCTATTTAAAAAAAACATGGTTGTATGTGGTGGCAGAAGCTGCCATTTCAGCAATGGCACCTCACTTAAACCCACATGTAACAGTATAATGTTTAAAAAGCGGCAGGTAAAAATCTCACAGTATACCGAGTTTTTAAATCTGGAGTCCGCATTTTCCAGCACTGAAGCCCCACTAGTGATGCATTTTTCATCAACCAGCAATAGAGGCAATTTAAACCAAAAAGGGCCAGTCTGTCCTGAGAGTGATGGGTTAACTTGCCAACCACAAGCCCCAAAAGTCCGTATGTCACTCTTCACCTGTTCTACAGAATCACCGTGAGAGGACTTAAGGTTGATAACAAAGTGATTTTACCCCGCTGCTGCTGACCCCTCGCCCGGTCCAGGACACTAAACGTGCTAACTGCTACTAAACGTGTGTGTGTGTGTGTGTGTGTGTGTAGGGTTTCCAACTTCCACTACATAGAATGCAATACAGAACAACCGCAGTTGGATGCTTCTGTTGAAGTGGGTTTAGTTTTGTAATAGTAACACATGTTTGATTGTGTGAGGGACGTTTTAAACCTTACTACACCCAAATATCCATATTCCTCTGTGCTTATGAGTGTTGCAGCTGTGCATGGAGGCAACACAAACAGACATGGAAGGAGAGTGAACGTGACACAGAACGGGGTAATTCTGAACAGAAGGAGGACTCAGCCAAGACTAAATGAGGAGCTCATACTTAAAAGTGGGGCTGATTCTGTCGTATGGATGTGGTTAAAGTAGGAACAGTCTGACACGAACCAGAAAACCTCACTTTGCTAATTGTGCCGCAGATTGTTCCCCACAACAGACTCCAACACCACTAACCTCTTTCACTGCCTACGCAAGAATACAGAGAGTACAGAGAGAGAGAAAAGGTGGACAAAGGTTCTAAATAAAAGGAGAAAACTAATCAAATATGAGTAAGTGCCTTTCATTTGTTGAGTATATAATTCAAAATGTAATAAGAAATAGGAGTTTCCTTGTGGTCATCTCATAGAAACTATTCACTGGTTTTACAGAAAAATACCTGTATTGTGAAATGTATCGTTATCTGGGTGTAAAATTCCCTATATCGGGATTCTGGTCATACTGCACCACCATAGTGCCACAATAATGTTTGTCACTTAAAATATCTTCAATAGGGACCTTTCCAAGCAAATATTGCTATATAATATTGATTGCAACACCATGAATATTTCTCTGGATCCGCCCCTGTGTGCTGTTATCAGCTGCTCAAACAATAAAACTTCAGAAAAAACAAAGATCCACAAGAATCCAATAAGCCTGTTCTGAAATGAGATTTACAGCCGTTCATGGTTGGAGGCCATGAACAACAAACATTTCTGCTTCCACTCAAAATTACAATGTATTCAGTTGGTGTGTGGCTCAGCAGCAACAGTGCAGGACATAAACCAGCACGTTGTTCTACTTTAGTTTCTGTCATATATACTGTATATCGTTACAATGTCGGATGTTAAAATTAAATGAGGCCAAAGTGTGAAACATTGAGGTAAACGTATGTAAAAGTAATCCCTGTGAGTAAAAAGCTCAGAGTGCTCTTAACGCTGATTCCTTTATATGGTATATATCTGCTCCAGGAAGAGTCCAATTATCTGACCGCTCTGCTACCGATGGACATTAACTTGCATCTAACCAGCTAACAAGAAAGAAAAACAAGAAGCTAAGGCTATATTTCCATCAGGAAACTGAATCACTTAAACAGAGTAAGAAGGTGGAGGTGGAAATGAAATGAAACTGTTTTTGAATGTGTCACTCAACAGATTGACATTAACTGTTACTCTTACTAATGTCCTTAAGAAAACATAGTGCAAACATACATGAATAAAGTAATATCTCTGTTTGCAGTGAAATAACCTCAGCTGACCACATTTTATTACATATATCACATTTGCAGCAAAACTTTTGCTAAAACTTAGTTGCATATTACGCAACTCGTAGGAGACAATGTGGCTTTGTGACAGTTGTAACACTGAGCTGTTGCTGAAGGACTGAATCACAGTGTATCTCCTCTCACAGACGTTGTCACGAGTGGATTGGAGATTCGAGTACATTCTATGGATATCTCTTGACATTTTATATTCATGTTAAAGGAAAATGTAATACATTTGAGGGCACAGTATAATTCAGCAGAGAGAACGGACAAACGTGTCATGTTGGACTCAGTATGTGGCTGCAGTGTCACTAGCAGAGCCTGTGTTGATTTTGTGTTATGAGCTGAGGTGACGGGGGAGTGCATGTGAGAGACCGGAACATGGAGTTGCAGATAGACATAACACAGAGCAAAGAAAAGAATATAATGAACACTGACAGCTTTTCAGCAGTAATGTTCAGAAAGGAGCTCCTGCTGTATGTAACAACAACTTTCAAAAACTCAAATGGCTTCGTGTTTGTTTTTAATGTCACAAAAGCTCTTCATTTTGGCTGAGTTACATTCCTGCCCGTCACACACCGATCAGACCCGACCTGATATTGCTGTAACATTAAACCAAACCTATTGCCATGCGTTCCATTTCTGTGTGTATATTCCAAAGACACTGCGCAGGCCAATCAACAGTTGTACATGAACTTCTTCCTGTGAAACAGTGAAAGTCGAAACACTGCAAATGATTTTCTCTTTACTGGGAACAACATGGTGAACTGATTTTAGCACCGTCTGAATGTGTGAAACCAAGACAGCTGTGCGAGTCTGAACTGTGCAATCATGACAAATTTGTGAGACACAAACTGTCTCTGATTAATTTGATTCATCAATATGTTAGTTCTTTGAAATAAAAGCAAATTTTTGGAAAAAAATGAGGGATAGCACAGGTGTTTTTTTATTTTTATTTTCCTCCTTCACCCAACCTTTTGGCCCCTGTTCCAGTCTCCATGCAAAACAAAAATAAAAGCCTTGCATTTCTACATTTTCTTCAATAATATTGAGATAAAAATGTTCATTGTAGCACCCCACCCTTCAGACCATGATACTATATTCACCATTCAACATACCATAATATTAAAGGAGTGTGAAGGATTTAGTTGCAGATAACTAAACACCACTGACGATACACTGAAGTTAGGACAGCTTCCTCTTTTGTGACGAAACGTCGAAATTCGATCCGATCGATTCCCCAGGAGGAGTTAAAATACAACGCCTACAATAATGACCACTAAATTCATAATGGACGACTTGCGGTTGGGTTCGGGGGATGGGTCAAAGAGGCTTTTTTGTTTGTCTTGTCAGGATACGTGTGTAATGAGTTTTATCTGTATTGGTGAAACATGTCAGGGGGGCTGCTTTTAAGGGTGCACTGCCAAGCCATTTTGCCACACCAATGTGCGTGACCCATATCATCATGTATATTTATATCATTGTTGAATTTGTGCTGTGTTTGATGAGTTTTCGAGCATGTTGAGGCGGCCAAAAATGCCATTAATTTGTCAGATAAATAATAATTCCTTGCATTTCTATAGGGCTTTGCAGCGGTCGCTGCTCTGACCCTAATAATCCCAGTAATGCTCCTTCATTCCAACATTTTGGGAAGATCGGTTTGTAACCAGGAGGTAGATGGGAGGATCTGATGTACAGAGCGTGGTCCTGATTGTAACAGGTGGTCCAGGGGCTGGAGTTGGGCTGAGGCAGCAAGCCTCTTTCAAAAGAGAAGGAACTTAACTGGCAAGCGAGCCTCTGGTAGTCCCACATTTAGGAATCACCTGGTCTTGTTCAGAGTTGGAGGACGTGTGAATGCATCAGCTTCATCGTGAGGATAGCACATCATCTTCAAACCAGAAGCTTGCTGCTTGTTAAACCACAATATCTTGTTTTCTCTGGCTACGTGTGTTGAATAGTGTGACATGTAGTTGTGGGGGTTTGGTGTTGTTTGAAGGGACTTCTGATGGAGCTGGGCTGAGAA